AGATTTCGTTTTCGAAATGGCCGGCTTCCACGACGGAAAAAATTAATATTGTCTCCATGCATTACCTCTAAATGTATATATTACGAGAAAGAATCTAAAAATTGCAAAATTTCAAGCTCAATTGATCCTAAAGCTAATCAAGATTTACAAATATAACGACATTTTTTTCGACTTGATTGATTATACGTTATTTGTTGTCGCTCTTTTCTATCATCCGACTTACTTTTTACGAAAAATTACATCGAGGTACATGTAATCTTAACATGACTTTCGTAAAAAGTAAGTGAAATGATGCGAAAAGGTACGAAAAACGCGACGAAAAACATACAATTCTAACGTGAAAGAATAAACAAATTCATTTAGCTCAGCCGCGACAGGTAGGTATGTTCAAGAGCCGCAGAGAACGAGGACTGCTCGTATTACAGGCAAGACGTATACGAGTTACCGTGGGTGTGCCTCACAAAGCCCCATCCGCGCCGGTGTGTCGGCGTTAATGAAACACGTCCACCGTTGGCAATTGTCCCGCCGCAGGCACGACAACGGCCATCCGAACGTAAAAGGGAGAGGCGCTAGCTGGGCTGGCTCTGGCTACATTCCGCTCCGTTTCCATCAGGCTGCATCTAGCAAGCCCGGGATCCGGCTACTCTCCGGCGTTTCGTGAATTTAGATGAGCCCGGCCTGTCCGGCTTAATTCGCGTGCACCTCATAAGAAGCGAGTCATAATCCCCCTCTCTCGCGCCCCCCGACGCACACACGTTCTATATTTTTGTTTCGTTATTGGAGTAACGTCGCGGCCGGTGACCGTCGCGCGTTTTTTCCACTGTAAAAATGTAACCGGTTCGTTGGCCCGGCGTCGGCCGCGCAAAAATATCCTACCTACCTTATGCGCGCCGGACTTTCCGTAGCATTCATCGTGCTTATCGCGTTGTACGATTTGCACGATCGTACGAATACGGTTAATTACGCGATATCTGGAGGTGCGCTTTAATGTTTTAAATTTTCGCGAGATCCTACGACGGTGGGAAAATGAGTCACGCGTGATCTTTCGATCGCGCGATACCCCGATTATTCACTTTTCTTCCGAGGAAAGCGAGTCCCTCCGCTACACGTTGACGATCCTAATTGTCACATACGTTTCCGCATTATCCCGGACCCATCGGCGCTGCAACAAAAGGAGCAAGTGTTTGATCGGATACCGGAAAACCCTCTTTCGGTGCTCGTTTCGTCCGAGACGCAAGAACAGCGACCACGTCTCCCGTGGAAAAATACTTGCAGAGAGCTCGGGGTCACGTACAACGGCGCGATAACGTAGTCGTTCTTTCTTTCTCTCTCCCTTTCCTTTACAACCCTTCTCGCGTTCATCTCTCCTCGTTTCTTCATTCGTAGTCTCAGTCGTTCATTCTTCCCTTCCTCCACCGCTTTCCCCTATGTATTCAAAATGCAAGGAGCAAAAGGAGAGAGCGGGTGCACAAAGATCACACTGCCGCCCAGATTGAGGCTGCAGGGTAAACGTTCATGTCCTCCCGTACTCTTTCCTTCCGGGCGTTCTGTCTCTCCTGCGCCGCCGCATCCGACTCGCTCTCGCGCTTTGAGCAAATCTGCGTGAAAATGGGAAGAACGTCTGGTACGAGCCGGAGGGGGAGCGAAAAGTGTGCATGTTGAACCATATATGTGCGCGACGTGCGGGAGTCTAAGTGAGAGAGATAGATAGATAGATATAGATAGATAGACACAGAGAAAGAGAGAGAGAGAGAGAGAAAGAGTGGTGAGAGATAACCGTGGCGAATATCAGAACCCTTCTGATGACAGCGGGGTCGAATAACGAGGCCCTCGCCGTCCACGATAGGACACGGCTCCGAGTTGAAAATTACTTCCGCGTCACGGAGCTTTTCCTGCGGGGCCAGACGACGACCCTCCGACGAGTGCCAACCGGGGGTGAGTTATGATAGTCTATCGAAGTAAGTTCGTTACCGATGAGATTCTTGATTTTCTATTTATCGGGAGACCCCGTAAGGTAGCTAGGTAATAAGTCTCTCGTGTAGCCGTTGCCTCTCTCCCCCGAGCGAAATTAGTTCTTGAAGGAAATATATTGCGGATGCCGGGGTAAATACTGAAAAATCCCCGCCGCGCTTTTTAAGTAATCTTTTTTCTATTACGACCGGCAATTTGCGACGGGGCGCGATAAATTCGCGTGGGCGAGTGAATTTTAACACTTATACGCGGTAATATCATGTCGCGACGTTGAATAATGTTCGCGGAAAAATGGAGTGTCGGATGATGAAGCGCGCGCGAGAACTCAAGAAGATGATTACCGAAGGAGAGCAAATAGAGAATGTTCATGAATGAAAGAATCACGAAAATCGGGAAATCAACACACAAGGTTGGAAATGAGATTTTCGATTCTATTAACTAGAAATAAAGGAAAGGAAGCGCCGATGGGAGGAGACCGAATTTTTTTATTCGAGGCTGCTGAAAACGTGATACGCCGATGCATTTTCTCACGAATCTCATTGATCTCACGTTATTATTAATAGGTTTGCGCGCGTGCATTCTCCGCGCATAATAGAATAAAAATGGAATAGTATGCACAGAGAGAGGAGAGGACACGTGCATCTACCGATAATATTTGAAAAATGAACCGCGCTCGTTATACGATTGATTATGACTTACTGCATCGTTTCGGTGAGCGGAATAAATGCACTCGCTTTATATTGTGCATCCATTAAAATTCCATTTACCAATAGTAGCTTATGGCTCGTCAGGATAATAGCTGTAGCAGCACTCGATGTCCAATGGAATAGCATTAACTAGCGATTTACCGTTTTCAGTTATGCCGTTTGATCGATTTAGTGCTTCTTCGGTGTTTTTGCACGATTCATGAATCCTTTTACCACGAAAATTCGCGCGAATCTTAGAAAAATATTCGAATATATATTATAATTATTATTATATATAATAATATATAATACTATATATAATATATATATTAATTATATATAATAATATTATTACATATAATAATAATTATTATTATTATTATTATTATTGTGCAATTATTTCTCGCAGTTAACATTGTTATTCGAAAAGAATTTATTATCACTATAATTTTCTTTTAGTATTTTTCTTACATGCTTCTCATATCTTTTCATATGAGCGTAGGATGTAGTGAGAAAAAATTGAAACTCATAGCATTAATTAGTCTCTTCAAAATTTTTATTTTAATAATGCATATTATTTTCCAACAAAGTTATAATCAACTCGAGCCGCACTTATTTAATATAAAGAATTTAAGATTACGTCTATAGAAGCATCTCTGCTTAGTTTCATTGCCGCGAGCAAATCGCTTAACTGCCATGATGTATTTTGACGGGCTAATGGATATCGCGTACAGATTATCATGCTAAAGAGACGTTAATTAATACGTCGCATCCAGTAATGGCCGTTCAACCAGAACAGAGGTTCTCATCTATACAATACTTGTATTGATTGTGCGTGAAGTTTTCTATAAAAAATATATAAATTTATTATTATATATATTTATTTATTTTTTTATACCAATTCTTTGAAACTGCAGAAACTAATGTAATAAGATAATGCTCAGATATTATAAAAACAAACAAGTAAATCTTTAAATTATGTTTATCATTTGATAAATTATTATTACATCAAGTAACGCGTAGAGAGTAAAAATATCTCCAGAAAAAAATTATTTGAAATAATCCTCGCAGATTTTTAAAATTACATAGAGCATTTTTTAAGTTTGTCAAAATTATCGCATTTCTAATAAATATACTCGCTAAGAAGAACAGAAATAAAGTTTATATATTGTGTTTTCTAATTTCATAGAATTTAAAATCGTCATTTTATGCTGTCGAGACGTACAACTACAGAAGTAAATAAACATTCTTAAATATATGAATTTTATGTAGTTAAGAAAACTGTAAAATTGTGTGCATTTTATAATCAGTCATATTAAAACTTTACAAAAGCACGGTGAAGTGATTCTAACACATTTGCGCAGAGGAAATATAGATAAAATCGCTTTATCCTAGTATATCGGATTAAAAGCAGACGGCACCAGCTTTATCAATTTGTAACTACGCTGAATAAACCAGGAGAGGGAACTTGAGTTAAATCCAGGAAATCGAACCATTTCGTATGGAGTCTGCTAATTTCCCCTCGACATATGTCCTGTATATATAATGTAAAATAAGAACATTATATATATGTATATAATACCTAGTTATATAATAATTATAAATATAAAAGAGTCGGTATAAAGTTTTATTATATTTGAAAGAGCGAAATACATTCGTAATAACGAAGAAGAATTAATGTAATATATAGATAAGATTAGCAAAACGTAGCATTTATATTAAAGTGCTATATCGAGCAATCCATCTTCACAATGTGACATGGAATGATGAGATTTATTGGCAGAAAATAAATTTCGTTTCGCGATTTTCCAATATTTCATCTTCAATTCTCGCCGCATAATGCTCGCATAAAATTCGCACGTCGAAAAGAATCGAATTTCGGCGCAGTGAACTTAAATTGAAATCCAATTGAAAAATCTGATGATTTTTTATATAACAATATATGCCAAAATATACTGTAGAGAGAGACAGGGACTTTTTTTCTTCGAAGATTTTTATATTGAAAATAATCGATATAACCACAGATATATGATTAAATTTTTACACACGTGCATACTTGGATTCGATATATGTCAATCTTAAATTTTTCAAGACGCTTCTAAAAAATATTTAAAAAATGTATCATACAAGATAATTTATTTCATTAGTAAAAATCCATTATTATTATGGCTTTGTAAAATGCACACTTTAAATGGATCTGCGTATTCGCGTGTGCAGTCACCGATAGAGAAATTCGAAGGAATCACCTAATATCTGCTGATGTGCAGTCAATTCCGGCTTATGGCTCCCAGGAAAGAAATCTCGGGCGCGATTCGATCGATGAGGTAGCCAGATGGTACCTACCTCTATGCCACGTCGATTCCTCCATCGCACCCACTTGTTGAACCCCGGCCGCCAATACTCGACAAAGTACTCCTCCGTGTACTCGACCCCGTGACCATTGCCGAATCTGCCTTGCGTTCTGGTAGACGTCAATAAACGCGGAGTGTGCAAATTCACCTCCAGATATTCCTTGCCCTCTTTCGTCACCAGGTCTTTCGGGCACCATGCACCACCGCCCTTGTCTTGTCGTAGCCTACAAAAATTGAAGAATAATGTCACAAGTTATTACGAGCGTTTGAGGTATGTCGCGTGAAGAAGGACGACGAATGCGCATGTAGCGAACGCGACATTCGCGTGACAAACGCACAGGCACGTCAAGTTTTTCTAGCGCAAGTCATGGCAACCGTCATCGAGGAAAAAAGTATAATAAAAATAATACCCAGGCAGAAGATGTTCATGTCTCGATTATCGTGAATTTATTATGCAACTGATATAATTAATGAGTTCCCGGCTTGGTTTCCTTTCAAGATCAACGGCCGCTTATGTGTAAATTAATGATGCGACGATCGATTTATGGACGATCTTTGAATCTGAGTACACCGCCTCGAGGGTTCGCGAGATATTGATTATGAATAACTTATTTTGCAGCGAAGCTTTTATCGCGATAACAGCTTCTTGTGGACAGAGGAAAATGGAAGTAATTTTTTCAAAACTCTTGAAGAGAGTCTCTCACGCAAAAGGGAGAACAGTGATTAGTAGATTCTAAGAAAAAAAATCATAATTATAAGGGACTTGTGTATAAATTAAAAAAAATTGAATATTGAAATAATTATATAATAATAGAAGAAATATAATTATAATCCATCTCTGCCTCACAACTACTTATGTCTTCAATAGCAGATGTTCGTGATTTAATATTTGCTTTAAGATGTGTTTATAAAGCTAACGAGATTTCAAAAATTAAGAGTATCAGATAACAGCAGAGTGTACAGAAAGATTATTGATTCAGGTAGAGTCAACAAGATGTTCTTGCCAAAGGGAGCTAAAAGCGGCCATTTCATAAATCAACAGCATTTTTCCGATCTGATTGTTTCTGCAATCAGCATGAGAAATTAATTTATCCTAAGACTTTTGCCTCGAGAGATTTCTGTATCATGCGTATCACGTACACGTTACCACAATATATTTCATGTATAATATAAGTAATATAATTTTTCTTCGTGTACATTGATAATTGAAAACATACACACTTTGCTTACTGAATAAATGCTTATATGATGATGTAGAGAATATACAAGAGTTCGCGTGCGCAGAACAAGTATTCCGATTTTTAGAATTTTTATAGCACATTATTTTAGCAATATACCTGCCATATTAAAAATCTCAGAAATACATTTTTCTCGTCAAGAATCTTATTGAAAATTGAACGCGTATCAATTGCCTGCTAATTAAATCTCTACACAATAAAACTCTGTATAAACTTGATGAGAAAATTTATAAGAGATATAATCGCGTTATATCAAGTGTTATTTCCGACATACCGTGTCGCAATTCACGCATGGAAATCCATTGAAATACGCGCGGTTTTGTCACAAAGGGAGAGAGAATCTCCATGGAAATATTTCAGCTGGTTCAGTCGTGGAGGACTGCCGTACATATAGGCGGCATACCCGCATGTAAACAATAGACCAGGCGAAACCGGTTAAAAGCGTTTGCAGTTAATTAGGCGGCAATGCTGTTAACAATGTCCTGGCAAGCCTTCCGTAACCTTGCGTTGCAATGCAATCCGTAGTTAGGTGGTGCTCGACAAGCATAGGAGAGATCTCGTTTAAGTAAAATCACCGTTGCTTTTTCACGCAACAAATTTAAGACTTAGCTTGAGAAGCTGCTAATAATCTTAATAAATAAAAAATAGCCGTCAGCAAGATTGCGATCGTGATAATGAAAAAATAGAAACTCGACATGGCGGTGTTAATTGTCATAAATATTGTACATATATAGGTGTGACTTTGCATTTAAATAGAACGGATTGTTTTATAATACAATACTCATTCATTTGCTGCGAATCGCAATTGATTTATTGAAATTTCTATTCATCGTTATTTGCGCGATTACACATCCATAATGATGCTATTTCCTCTTTTCATATTTATTTGCGGTCGCTATTTTCAATTTATTTCAATTCATGATAACCGACTGTAATTCAATTTCTGAGATAAAACAAGCTGAAAATTCTGCCATATAATTTAGATATTAATACATTTTATTATAACATGTTACAACGCATATCGAGAAATCATAAATTTCCTCGAATCCCGTTTTATTTATAAATCTGGAAGTAAAAATTATTTCCTTATAATTTTAAAATAAGAGATTTCATTATTTCGTTATTTCGAGAAGCGACTTTTGGTAACGTAGATACAATATTGACCATGTTGCAGCACTTCTGCCCGTTAATTGCGCCATCAATGTTTCCAGATGCTCCGTAAATTGGATATAAAAATAAAAGAAAGCGTCGTCTCGGAACCGTAAAAATTTCCTTATGTGTCTTCTTTCAATCTAAAGAATTCATGACGTAGAAATGCCAAACTATCCTGTTGTTAAACGAAGAAAGAAACGTAAATTCAAAAGCGCATTGCTTTTAGAATTTTTTAAGTCGCAAAGTACTTCATCAAAAATTTCTGTGGATTTATGTCAATCGTAACCAGCTTATGTACAAGAAAATTTTGTTGTTGCAATTCATCGTGATTATTGCTTAAATTTAATTATTGACTTATCATTGAAAAAAATCATAGATTGATATATTGTAATATTTAAAGAAACAATGAATTTAAAGTGTACACACACACACACACACACACACATGCATAATATTAACATCAGTATCTAATACTTGTTATATTCAAGATAATAAAATTTGATAGTTTTATGTGATGGCTAAAAATTCTATATGTAATAAAACATGTATAATATATATACAGAAGCAAAATATAAAATATCATGAATACTATCCAACTTTACAATTTATATCCGGATGTGAAATACGTAATATAGAGTTTCAATATTAATATAGATCTCCGCTATAAATTTTCTACAATTTCGCGAGAAATTTATAATAACGATCAAAAGATGCAACCACCGAACGGCTCTGGTTTCCTCGAAAATAGGTGCGGAGTGCGCGATCCTAATAGGAAGCCGATAGTCTTCCTCGGTAAAATTTACGGCAGCCAACCGACGAACCGACCAGCCGTTCCACGGCGCGAATACTCCGAAGTAGTCTCGTCGAGAAATACACGAGGGTAAGAGAGCTCGGCCCACGGGCCGACCAGAAGCATTACGACGCCTCATCAGTCGAAAAGTGCATTAGCATTGCTAATGACCCCCGATCGTTACCACCACAGCTACTCCATCCACGCTGCTTCGAGCGCAGCACGTTTGTTATTCGGAAGTGGGCCACGGAAAGTCAAGGAAGGGAAGAGAGAAACAGGATCCCAAGGTGGATGGGTTAGGATGGGGGGGAAAAAAAGGTGGCTGGTACCCCGCAATAATTTTTGCACATCGATAACTTTGCATAGGTATGCGTCTGTTGTTTCATTTAGTTAAAACACCAGGATACAACACGTACGGCTCAACCAGCTGGTCGTAGAACAGAATTTCCTGTTGCCCTTTACGCAAAATTCTCGTGGCTATTAACAAATTGATGCGTCAAGTTCTCTCGTTCCGCCCTCGCGTTTGCGGATTTAAAGCGCCCCTTGCGAAATATCCACTGTAATTTTATAAAATGTTCGGCCCGTAATCCATTCAATTTAGGTTATTGTTTTATCACGATAAATACAGAAAATTTGCATAAAATGAACCGTTTCCAGTCATTAACCAATGAAAAATTATATTCGCGTTTACGTTTGCGAATATTATACATATAATATAAGCGCGGTAAATATTGAATCAGAAAAGATATTATCGGAATTAAATTATGGTCAACAAAACTTTTTGCAAGGTATACATCCCTTTGCAAATCTCTTATATTCATAATTCTTTTGCTGGAATTAAATCGATCGTTCTTTCTCAAATATTATTCTCTTACATATATAATATCTTATCACGTCTAATTTCACTCGGAAAATTTGAATTTTTCAGGCGCAACAAAATATAGCGCCAATCGACCTCTTCTTTAAGTATATTTATATTCAGGCCACGCATACGAGTCTGCTTGTTTTCTTCTATTATCTCTCGGTGTATCCAAGCTTTACTCAGAGGCCTCCGACCGCCTCGAATAGCTGATAAAAACTAATTAAATTTTCCCACGCATAGCGATTTCGATGATAACCGTTATTATGTTTTCGGGAGAAAACTCGGCGTAGAAAAGTGCAAAATGAATAAAATGGCAACGCGTTTGTACGTATTGCGCGACATTTTACGACCGTTTTGAGGCTAATCTCCATGCTAATTAGACGCGAAATGAGCAACAATTACGTCTCACCTGGCGAAAGACAAAAACGCCAGCTATGCGCAAGCGACACGAGCCATTCTGGAAACAAATGCTTCTCCAAGCTACAGAGATTCGGTTTGAAAATATGTCGCTGGTTAGCGAAGATGAACGCGAAAACAAAAGATCACACTGAGAAAAATCATTTGATTGTACTAACAAGACATATCTGATAGAAAATATTTTGGTTAAATCAAGCAGAATTTCTAGTTATCATGATAAAATTCAATTTTTGTATAACTAGAACATTTAATAAACTTTACTATAAGGATTTGATTAATATTTTCTAGTTGGATCCATAAAACTTCTTGTTATATTAACTAAACATGGACACAGTCATGCCATTTTTTTGTAAATTTAATATTATTATCAAGAAAAATTGGTAAATTTAACAAGAAGAAATTAATCATACTCATCTAATTCCTAAAGGAATTCTGATTCGTTCATTTTCCAACAGACATACTGGTTAAATCTACAGATTTTTTAATTAATGCAACCAGACTTTCTTTTCAGTGCAGGATCACTCGCATGTATGAAATATCTTTTAATAAAAAATGTACAATTTCCTCTTTTTTTGTTACACGTTGCTTCTGATTAAAATAGCTTTAAATAGCAAAGTGTGATAATAATGTACTCTATAGATATAGAGAGTATGACATTCGTAGAATAGTGTGTGCAATATTAATGTATACAATTATTATTTAATACAGGCGCGTCATTACTATAGACATGTAATAAAAAATGCTCGTTTACATTTTTTATTTATA